GAATGGTGACTCCCTGGTTCTGCTGACAAGGGTTTGTAAAGAATTGGCAAGGCAGCTGGGCTGAATTGGCGAAAGTGGTGGCATAGAGTGTAGGAACATATCACCAGCAACTTTGTCAGGAGGGTAGCACAGGTATGAGTGGTCAGCACAAAGTAGTAGGGCAGACCTAATGTGGGTAGGTATGAATCAGAGGAGAATTTGGTAGTGATGGCTGAATGTTAAGGGAGACGAGGAGGCCCTTCGAATGGAGCACCTTGTCAGCAGATAGAATGGATCAGCAATAGCATCAGCAAGGAGTGTGGCCTTGCAGAGTAGTTGGTAAATTACTGTTGGCATTGTGAGGTTCTTGAACACTACTGCCACCAGATATCAATGAGAGAGTTTCTTGATCAGTACTTGCCACCAGATATCAACGAGAGAGAGTGACCTTAGTGTAGGCAAGTGAAAGGGATGTTGGCTTGTAGAGTTTATTACTGAATGTATATGTGAGCCCCTAAGAGACCTCATGTCCCTGGGGTTGAGGATAAGGTGATGGAGCTGGATCCTATGGCTTGGTCTGTTTGGTGTCTCTCCATCTCCATCTGATGAAACATGTCCTTTTATGTGGATGCTCCCTTTGAGGGCAGATGCCTACTTACATCGTTGAAGTGCCAAAAGAGAAAGCAAATCAAACACCTGTGTCTGCCCAAGGATGAAAGGCAGCTGCTAGGGACAAAGATGTGAAATATACCATCCGGTCTTGCTATGTATTATTTACAATATATATATGTGTGTGTGTGTTTGTGTGTGAAAAAAATGAGATTTTGCATTACTGAATAATTCATTTAACATGAAATCATATTTCTACATTAAAAAAGGAAAATATGCATAGCTGCCCTTACTTCTTTGTTGAAACCATATCAATGATTATCCTTGCTTGCTGACTGCTTGAATGTGTCATACAAATTTCCAGATCCCAGAACTTAAGTAGGCTGGTTGTGTGTCAGGAACTTGAGCCTGTTTCAGTGTGGTAATGAGAATGCCATGTGATGCCTGTGGTTACCAGTGAAGATGGGGCCACTGGACATGGCATGACCCAAACTCGGTAGTATATGTATTGTGTTGAGTGCAGGTTGAGGGTCATGACTGCTGCTGGAATTGTACTTGCAGTTTGGGAATAAGCTAGGATCCTACATGGCTGGAACATTTTCATTTATTTCTGAAAATATATTACATGATCTCTGGTAACTGTACTGGAGTGAAATAAAAAATTTCAGGTTGAGTGAAGAAATTATATTCCAAGTAGGAGGGCTAGAGAAGGTTAAAGTCTGTATAATACTAAACTGTAAAAGGGAAATTATTGCATTGCTACATATAAGATATATAACTTCAATTATCATTGCCAGTTCTATTTTGCTTTTTCAGAGATGAACTAAATAGTTTTATGGAATGTCAAGGTGCATTCAAACCAGGAATCATGGTATTGACAACAGCACTGAGTAAGCCCTTCAGACGGTTAGACAAGTATGCTGGGATGCTGCAGGAGTATGAACGGCACCTAGATGAAGGGCATCCTGACAGAGGAGACACCCAGAGATCATCCCATGTTTACAAGGAGTTGGCGGTACATGAGATGTGAAACATTTTTATTTTAGTTAATGAAATTATTTATTTTGATTAATTGATTAATCAATGTTTTTTTGTTTTTTTCATCTTGATTTGATAAACATTTAAAGAGCCATTATAAAAGATATTGATGATAAAGATTCATATTTTCACAAATTAGCATGCAACCATTATATTGCAGAGAGGTAGGTGGATATACATATTATTTTCTTATATCCACAGTCCACTTGTGGGGCTATTAGACGGCAGAAGGAGCTGGAGCTGGAAGTGGTCACTGGGAGGGTCCATGGATGGGAGGGTGGCGACTCCCTGGGGACTCTAGGGGAAGTGGTAAGGATGGGGTCAGTTGCCCTCCTACCAGACCACCGTGATCGATACTTAGTTCTGTTTCCGGCAACACTGGTTATGTTGTCTGTCTCACCCAGAATGAGTGCCTTTATCTTTGAGGTGTGTAGTGAGGATTTTATGTATTTTAAGTGATTTATATCTCATCTGATTTTATTAAGAGTTCTTATAACCATTGACATCTCATGCTACTTTAATTTTTTTTAGATTTCATGCAGTGTTTTTCAAACATATAAGGAAATAAGAAAGCATTAACTACACATTGTTTAACCCCATACCGACAGGCCACGCGCTGAGGCGTCATAACAAACTGCTCGATCTGTAGAGTGCGGCTGTACGCCACGGGGATGCACCTAAGCGCTATGAGCCAGGGGTTCAGCTTGATTTAGCGAACTCCCGCGCTCAAAGTCAGCTCGTTGCCATTAATCTCCAGAGCGTACAGTTTTTAAAAATTTTCTTAACCCGTCAGTAAGGGGTTAATAATAATTTTTTTTTTTTTATAATGTATAAAAGTGTCTGTTATTAGTCTGTGTCTTAATAATAGCCATTAACTTTTCACAGGGAAATTATCCTTTAAGCAGTATCCAAGTCACCAAACTAGAAGATGGAGAGCATTATAAAAATGCCTTTGAGGTCTCAGGTGAGATTACTCTTATGTAAAAGTCTTAGAATGTAAAAGAGTACACAAGCCAAGTAATGTGTTTGCTTTTGATTGGTGCCATTAATCTGTATAGCACCAGTGCAAATTACAACCAAGTGACGAGATTCATTAACAGACTACTGTATGGCATTCACCAGCCACATAGTCAGTTTTTTGTCAATATATACATGACAATGTATGTCTCAGTCCATAGATGCTTGTTAAGGTATAAGTTCACCCAGGAGACTCAAGACCAATCTGATGTCTGCCATATAAACATACATGTTTGGCTTGGAGGCCAGGCCCACACAAACACTTGTGTGCCCTCCCTTTACAATGTTAATATCTGTTTTTCTGTATAAGTGTTTTTTGTTTTATTTTTTAGATTTTCCAAGGTTTATATTTGTTATTTGATATGTTTTTTTTTGTTTTTTTTTTACATTTTCTTAACCCATTCGCGCCGGGTAAAAATGAAAAAAAAAATGGGGGAAATGCTGTGCTCATTTTTTATATTTTTTAATAAAATTTCTCTACACTAGATAGCTCTGCTTTACCTGATTTCATTTGGCGGGAAAATGTATTTTTACTAGTGCTATGAATATCGATGGTTATTTTTATTATAAACATTATAATTACTATAATGCTATAAACATTAGTAACAGCAAAATAAGATAATGCAAAATGATTTCGTAAATTAAAGAAAAGGGTAAACAGACGAGACAGGCAGTACAAGTGCAAGTGGAGCCATCTATGTTTGTAAACAATCAAACAAGTAAACTCACAGTGGGCCCGTCACGTATACGTAACGTCCGGCGCGAATGGGTTAACCTGTTACTAATGGGTTGCATGTACAAGTGTCATAACATACCACTTGGTCTGCAGGGTATGGCTGTATGTGCGGCAGCACTCTAGAAAGTGTGGAGTAGGAAGTTCTGCTACTTGCAGCAGACTCCCACACTCAGTGTCTGGATGATCATGATCTGGTTGATGTGCTTTTCTCATCACAGCTGATTTAGTTGTGGCTACAGAGGATGGGTCACTCATGTCACATTACTATGATGCTATGATGAATGTATTACATCTTATGCTGATCTTCATAAGGTACCCGCATGCTCACATATCACATACCCTGGGGCATATGCATTAAAGCATACAACTAAACTAGTAATACAATTTTTAAAAAATTATGGATTAAGAAAAGAGTATAGTACTGGATGATGATTCCAGTTTAAATTTTTTATAATCAAATAATCATCGCATGAATATAGCATATATTTACAATATTGTAAATTATAGACACTTACATAGACTAGATGGAGAACTGAACATCCCCAGTCTCCAGATGATGGGAAAGGGTGTGTGAGCTGGATGGGTATGATTTTTAAGGAAGTACATTCATTTATATATGTAGGCACAACAATATGAGTAAATAATTGAATCATTTATAGGTCAAAGTAAAAGTTGGTCCCATGTCCATGTGTGTGTAGGGGACATGTTCGCAGAGAAACATGCTTACTAAGCTGTGGGATGATGTGGTAGGACGGCCAGTTCCTTTCCGCCACTTATAGGTGATAAGACTAAATATTCATCTTTAGACAGGAATTGATAATAGTTACTACCTCGGCAATAAAATCACTTCTTATAAATTCAAAGGATGGGTATTAATTATGGGGAGATACCAGGAGTTCAATAAAGTTGTTTTATATACAAACAGCTGAAAGTGTAAACCATTGAGAGGGAGGGTGGTTAGCAGTGTCTGAGCACCACACTTTATTTTGACAGCCTGCATGTGCATGTGCGTGTATGTGGGTATTCCTTGTGTATGAGTCTGTGCCTTAGATATTAAGATCTGCAGACTGTTTCTTCTGATTAATCATTCATTATATTACAGAAGTCATCCAATAATGTATTGTAACATTTGTTAACCCCTTGCATTGGGGTGATGTGACCATCATGTCATGAAAAAATCCAGGTCAAGGGGCGGGTGATGTGAATATGCTGTCAGGGGAAAATCTGACTATAGGCTGTATGCCTAATATCCAGATTTTTGTTGATGTGACTACCATGGCGCAACCAGATCCAGTGGGTTAATACTGGTTGGAAAATAAATCCTTTATTATGTTTGCATTTATTGTCCATTGTGATCTAACTTGATATGTGAATTACAGGATGGCCTAAATATCTATCATGCTTACTATGATTTTGATTTATTAATTTTGGCTCCACATGTGCTTTATTTTAAGGAAGTTCTTAGGCTTACCTAATCTCACCCTGTACTTTGAATAAAAAACATGTAAATTATTATTGTGTTATGATGATTATAGTGTCAATAATGCTAATAAACTCCACTGATAATGATAGTGATAACATTAAAAATTGATATATTGTTTCCATCCAAAACACTCAAGCAATGGGGTACACAGGTGAGGTGAGGTAGTCCTAGTAGTTGACTTGTATGTAAACATAATTGACACAATAAAACTATAGTGGACAATACATGTATCAGGGAACAGTGGGTTAATTACCTTTACTGCATTACTATTTTTCTTTTCTTTTAATATGGCATCCTTATATTCAAGGAATTTTACTTTTCCCTCATTAATAAGAGTTTTGCATTGGCAGGTCCAATCGCAGACCGGATTGTTGCCGTCTGCCAGACCAAGGAAGACCAGCACCTCTGGGTTGATACCCTCACCCAACAGTGCCGTATGGCTAGAGCCTCCAACTTCACCCCTCACAAATCCTCGTTAACCTCTCCCCCTGTACCCCCAGCCCATGTAAGTGTATCATCTAATAGTTACAGATGTAATGTCCAGCCTAATATATCCGAGTTCCATTCATGCATGTCTTGTGGCTTAATGTGGAACCCATCTGAGGATGAGTGTATCACAGGTGTTGAAGTGATTGGTGGTGGTACTGATAACCCCTATACTTCCTCCTCTCTGCAAGATAAATTTTGTCAGTGTAAAGCATCAAGAACAAAAAATAATTTCATTAGTCCATCCCTCACAGTCTCACAATTGTATGTAACATCTATCCCCAATGAAACCTTTTATATTAGCCGACCATATGCCATCCTTACAAAATACTTCAGTAATCTGTATAGAAGAAAGATCATAACAAAAAAATTATTAAGAACATTAGCTGGTGATAAAGAAGATGAAGATGTTTTGCATCAGGTCCAATTGCGGAGACACAGAACAGAGTGCTCAATTATGACAGGGGGTTTATCTAGTGATGACTCTGATGATGAACCCAGCACTTTAAAATTAAAAAATGACCAATGTTCTGATGTAGAGTCCACCACAAGTGGCTCCTCTAGTGATGACGGGTATTGGGTAGGGGAAGATCCAAGAATCAAAGCAAGCATCTTCTCGCCAATGCCAAAGAAAAAGGAATACCCACAGGTCAAGAGCTCTGCCATTTCTAGTACTACCTCAAGCAACCTTCAAAGGTGGAGATACCAACAGAGTGGCATTGACAAAAGATTTAATAACAGTTCCATTTCAAGCTCCGGAGAATCTGGTGTATCTACAGATGGCAGCAACCCTTATGGTTATGTCAGATATTACAATCCTGATGATTCCAGTCTTGGATCCCCACAGATGGAAGGTGATTATGGCCAAGGGTCAGCTCAGCGCTTCACTTACACAAAACCATTCAGCACTGCCTTTGAAGAGTTTGAATCATGCTCAAAAATGGATAAAAGTTCTTCCTGTGAAGGTCCTTATTACAGTATTGCCCAAGGTATTGCCCCACTAGCAGTTTCAGAGGTGTCGTATGAGGGTGATGAAAGGGAATATGAGGATCACAACTTTAAACATTCTCTGCAAGAAGAAATTCTTGACAGCAAGAACCTGTCATCCTCACAGAGTTACCCACAGTGTTTTGTTAGTGGTAACATTTATTCTCCTGCAGGACATCTTACTTACCCTCACACTCACACAGGCATCACATCCAAGTCCATCCCTCTTATTGCAGGGACTCTAATTGCTGAGACAGAGGAGGCAAAGTTCACTGCTAATAATGCACTTCATTCATCAACACTTAATATTCCAGCTACGCCAATAATCCTACCCAATTTGGTTCCTGGTGAATCAGATGATGAGCTTTCAGAAAGCACTCCTAATATTTGCAACAGAACCATATATGGAGGTTCATTATCTTCTGAGGATGCACCAGCTTTTGAGATCAAGAGAGAAGAACCATTAAAAAAGTTTCCATTTAAAATCAAACCAGATGTGGCTTATTACATGTCATCATGCAGTGGTGATGAGATGGGTGATGACAAGAGTGATTATTATGAAAATCAGAGAAATCAGAAGTCCTTGGCTTTGTCTTTATCTCGCAGTGAGCCAAACCTGCTCCAGAGAGTACCCTCAGTACAAGAGCCCAAAGATTCACATACTTATGCAAGTCATTTTGTCCAATTTGTGCACAATGTGGAAAATCCTGCCAAAGTCTGCAGCTGTGAATCACACAGCCACAGGTCCTCAGACTCTGGCCTTGCAGATGTTTTACACCACTTGGAATGCTGTCCATTGAGAAGCGAAACTCCAGGGTTAGGGCGAGGATCTAGCATATCTCGCTGCTCCCATTCTTCCCAGTTTTCCAGCATTAAGTCTCCAAGAAGCATATCTTCTTGCCAGATACGTCCCATCACTCCAGACTGTGGCATGGACAGTGACAGCCTCCTCCTCTCACCCACGATGACACCTCGCACCTCTGCCCCTGTGACATATTCAATGGATTCATTTTCCTCCCTTCCAGACTCAGTCACTTTGCATCACTCAACATCAGCACAAGACCTGTTATGCACAACATTTTCGGAGTCCACTAATGATGAATCAGTTTTTCGGTCGGGATTATATGCCCACTGGTGGATGAAGGCCAGTGTTTGCCCAAAGGTGTTACAACTAGAAAAATCTAAAAGAGATTATTTGAGGTTCTGTGGTGAAAAGAAGCCTGAAGTACCTCCAAAGCCCAAATTCTTGAAGCCTTCATATCACACCCGAAGAGTGGGGGCTCTGACCAGACCAGCTGCTAGGTCAGCAGCTACACAGACAAACTTTGGTAATGTCTATTCGCTAACCAAGATGTGTAGATCTGTATCAGGCATGAGTCATGAAGCTGCTGAAAGTGAAGAACCTAAGCCACAAGCACAGTCAGTAAGACCAAAGCAGAAGATATCCTCAACACACCTCAGCCCTCAGAGTTCAGTCAGCATTTCTCGTGACCGAAGTTTTGAGTCCCAAGCATCACAAGTCTCTCAGGTAACAGTAATACCAAGACTGGCAAGTCAAAGGGAAAATACATTCTCTGAAGTGCAGACAAATCAGCTGACATTACCCCAATTCAGACTTACCACACCCAAGATACAGTCAAATAATTCTCAGGAGTCAAGTGGAACAAGTGGAACTTCTTGTACAGAGCTATCAAGTCTCCATAGTTTCAGTGAATCATGTGATAGAGATGGTGATCCCCCACACATTCGTGACTCCTCTGAAGGCTTAGATGTTGACTTCCGACGTAGAGCTTCCTCCCATTCTTTGCATGTTGGTACTGGTTCTTCAGAAGCATTCAGATCCACATTATATTGCCAACTTCAGCCTTTCTCACGAACTAGTGATCAGCAGTGCATCGAAGTTCAGTTACCAGTCCCCACGGCATCGGCTTCAGGATTTGCCAGGGAAGGAGATGATGTTGCCAAACCTAGCCTTCCTCCGAAACCCTCCCACCTTCAGACATGGCCTATCCAGCGGTCCAAGAGCCTTCCAAAACTTCCCCTGTCGACCATCTCTATCCACAGCAAGGTATCTTGGGTGAGGTTATCTGCAGGTCCCATGATGATGGTCTCATTCAGTATTTTTCTTGTATTATATTGAAGTAAAGAGTTTTTCCTTTTTTCTTTTACCTTAACATGACACAGAAATGAGATCTATCATCTTTTGTAGATTTCATTAGTACTTTACAAACCATATGCTCTACATTTTCAGTATATTTGGTTTTATAGAAACTTTTGTTCTGTACACTTATTTGTAATATAGCCATTTTATTGTGGATAAAGTACAGTAATTACTATATGATCATTGATGATGCAATCATTATCAATATTAATATGCTAGGAAGACCCATTTTGATCATTCTCTTCCTCATCTCAGGAATACTCCAGCTAGGTGTACCTTGGCTGCTCTTGTATTTTGTCTGCTTGAAGGGCAGCAACTCTTTTCACTTGTCTTTGAGGTAAACCTATCCACAAAGCAGTGTAGGTGGTGCTGTTTTGAGTGTTACCAGGACTCACACAAAACTACAAGAGTTCAAACAGTGAAGCTCTGAACATGATTATATACCTCTTTTCTGCAGCAAGAGTGATGTGGCAGACATCTCTTACATATGTAAAATTTATCTGTATATTAGATTTTAAAATGTTTATTAGATCAGAATCAAATTTTGTCTTTACTGTTGCAGCTCTTGTGATGATGAATTTCTTTATTTTTTTGTTGTTGGCAAAGTCTGAGTCACTGATAAATCAGATATATTAGCCAGGAATAATTAAGCTTGGCAGCAGGATTGAATTTAACATTAACACCTTAAACAGTAGTTCAGTGAGTGAATTTACTGTTGATGTTGATATTAACTTGATTTGCATTTCTAGTTTTTTCTCAGTTATTGACATGAAATTTTCAAAATGTTAAAGCAAAAGAGTATTATTATTGTTACTTTCTCATTTTGTATAGGGCAAGTTAAAACATTAAATTGGAAATAACTTGGTAGATACCATGAACCACTTTCCACATGATAAGACAAAAGCCAATTCTTTGCTCCTGAAATAGGAAATAGTGAACTCCTTTCCTGTATTTTCTTTTTTCTCTCTCTTTTTTTGGGTGAACCTGCAGATAAATGCTAGATACCTTGCTTTCGTAACACTATGAATTTTATTGATATTTCTATAGGTTTTTGCATGTGGTCAATAAGACTTTAACCATACTTGTATTACATTATCCAAATAAATGCTTGTAGAGTTTGCTGGTCTTCATGTAGTATGAGCATTAATCCTTTATAGCATATTGCTAGTAGTTGTGTGTACAAACATCAGCACTGAAGTATGTGCTTGTTGTGAGTACGTTATTTAAATTTTCATATTGTTTAAGTAATTTTCTTATACAGTGTATTATCAGGTTAAGAAATTATTTTGAACTATGTAATTCTCTGCCATTTATTTACAGCAAACCTTAATAAAAGTTCTTTATTTTTTTGCTACATGATTGATATTGTGAATATACATACCCTTTTTATAAATGCTCTGTTTACAAAAGTTGCAAGTTCACATTATGCTGATAGTCATATATAAAACATCTCAGTATATATTATTTTGAATATATGTATCATTAATCCATTGGATCCCAAAATCCAGCAGTAGGCTTACTAGAGAGGCAACTCACTGGGGAGTGTGGCTTGCAGTCCAGGCCTACACAAACACTTTAGAGCAGTGTCAAGATTCCTTACCTTCCCTTTGCGATGATTTTATCTCTTTCCACATAAGTATTTATTATCATTATTTTTTATTTTTATTTTTTTATTTATTTATTTATTTATTTTTTTTCATTTTCTAACATCTACATTTGATATCATGAGAGTAATAAACTTTCCATATCGTCTCTCTAGGAACTACAATCCTGTGTGCAGTATTAATAACAATAATTTTGTTCTATTCATTTGGAAAAAGTATCCTCCCTGGAGTCAGAACTGTTACATACATGACTTATGGATGGCACAATCGACATACCCGTTGACAGATGGAAATAATACAAGAGACCCTTCCTAAGTGCCATTTTAGTCTAACCTTTGTGCATTTGTGGTAAGTCATTCTTGTCACCCCAGCCTTTAGCCAAATTTTTCATGATAGCATATTCCCATCACCTGGACCTCGGCTAAATTTTTTAATGCTACACTGTTGGTACCAGAAATTTCTGGGTGTCTCTCATTCCGATGACTTATGGCAACCATCTAGCCTTTTGGCTGAGGAGTCCACTGTCATATAGCAGAACTTCCTGCTTCCCGCTTATTGCTGTACCCGTCATGATGAGTTGGTTTTTCATGATGGCAATAGGGCATGCCCAGTTATAAGAGAATAAATTAAATGATGGTCATCATTGGGTTCCAATGGGTTAAAGGATGGATATTATATATGTTTTATTCTTTATTTAGAAAAGGAATCTGGCATACTCTTTATTGTTTATCAAATTAACCCTGATATATAATATATGGTAACTTCTAACAGAGCACGTCCTTAGTGCCACGACAGTCCAGTGTGACTAGCATCACAAGTAACACCGAGTCACCTTCAAGGATGCAGCGCTGTGCAGGGGGAAAGGTGAGAATTGAAATGATATTGTGGTGTTTACCACGATTCTTAACCCAATGTTGCCAGAAAAATGCTGTGCTTATTTCATATTTTTTGTGAAATGTCTTTGCACATAGATGGCTCTGCAAGTCCTTAGCCTCAAAGGAGTCAATTAGTAAACCTTGTGACCATACCTGATTTCTCCTTTCCTTGAATTTGCAGTAAAAATGTCTTTTTTGTTTAACCCATTCATACCGGGTGTCACGTATACGTGACATGCCCACTGTGAGTTTACTTGTTTACTTGTTTTTACACATAGATGGCTACACTTGTACTTGTACTGCCTGTGTCGTCTGTTTACCCTTATCTTTAATTTACGAAAATGTTTTACGTTATCTTATTTTGCTATTACTAATGTTTATAACATTATAGTAATTATAATGTTTATAATAAAAATAACCATCGATATTCATAGCACTAGTTAACCCACTGATGCAGGGTGTACAAAAGAAAAAAAAAAAACTCTACCCTCTAGCAAACAAAGGCGGCGTGCCAACTTTGAGCGCGCGAGTACGGGACGTCAACCCAAATCACTGGCTCGTTTGGCTGCACGCCAGCTTTCGAGCGGTTTGTTTACACGCCTATCAGCGTCACCCAGCACCAAGGGGTTAAAGTATATTTTCCCGCCAATTCAAGTAAAGGTGAAATCAGGTAAGGCAGAGCCATCTAGTGTAGAGACATTTCACTAAAAAATATTAAAAATTAGCACAGCATTTTCCCCATTTTTTGTTCATTTTTACCCGTCGCGAATGGGTTAATAAAGCTTTCAATATTGATTGTTATTTTTATTATAGACATTTTAATTACTGTCATGTTATTGACATTAGTAACAGCAATATAAGTATTTTTGAAAATCAAGGAAAAGGGTAAACAGTTGAGAGAAGTAGTACTTATAATTGGCTCATTGGTGACTAAACTCACAGTGAGCATGGCATCTAAGTACATGCCATGTGTAAAAAAATTAACACTTCCACTATGGCCTGTACTTAAGGAACTTAACTCCCCGGGCCAGGCATGTTTCATGTGTACATATACACATATATGTATATATGTAAATATACATATATATATATATATATATATATATATACATATATATATATACATACATATACATTTATATATATACACATACATGTGTGTGTGCGTGCGTGCGTGCATGTAAGAGTTTATTTAAGGGACCTCTAAACATTGGTGACAGGGAGTAGTAAAAGCTTGGTGGCTTAAAACTCTTTATTGATAAGAGCTAGCACACAAGTTGATAACACAATATGACAAGGTTTGGGTTAAGGCGAGGGCGCCTAGGTCAGACGGCGAGCCTTGCCAAACAGCAACCTGGGTGCACGGTCAGACGTGACCCAGCCGCGGCACATAACACTCTGCCTATAGGGGTCACCTGCAGGCCTTAAATATCCGAGCGTTGGCTTGGAGACGAGGGTAGGTAGCATTCCCCCAAGCCACGAGGCTAGTGCGAGTGGGAACGAGGCTAGGTAGCGTCCCAAGCCAGCAGGTAGCTAGTGTGGGCGGCCACACTGCTGGTACAAGCATCCACGTGGTCTGCATACAGTATATTGTATATGGTCATTTTCCCTTTGACTTGCCCAGGGCATTGCCGCCTGCATGCTCTCTCTGCAGCTGAGAGTCAGGTCAGCGGCAGATGTTCCTATGAATATTACACCGCTCTGCCACCTACCCACGGCTCATCCTCAAGACGATCTAGACTTCTTCAAAGGTGCCCCAACCTGGCTGGTTCCAACTTGCTCATCCTTGATCTCGGGTGCGGTATCCTTGGTGCATCTCCGTGGCTGCTCGTTCTGTGTCGTCATCCTCGCTCTGGTCCCTGGGAATCTGTTCATCCTCAACTGGTCTTGCACAGGTCCTCGCCCAGACATCCTTGTAGCCCGCGTACAGGTCAAACTCGGCTGCTTATTCGCCCAATGCACGTCTCGCAGATTTCCGTCCAGGTCCTTCTCGGCTGCGCGCTCATATAGACGTCCTCGTAATATTCATCAGGATCTACGGGCGTCCGGCAGGAAGCGTCCTCTTCGACATCGTAGGGCGGCTGATACCTGCACTAATGAGCTCCTGGAGTTTGACTGGTTTGCAGCATCCAGGCAGGCCCGTCCACAGCATTAAGGACTGCGAACCCCTACTGGCGAGCTCCTGTTTTCGCTGGATCTCGGGTGTCCTGGCGAGCAGCGATTTCCAATAACGTTTTCTAATGCCTTCCGAAGGTGACCGTTTCTGCAGCAGGGCCTCCTTCGGTGCCGTTTCAGATATCGGGAACCAGAATAACACATAATGGGCCAGATAGTGAGAGAAGGAAAAACGACAGAGAAGAGAAAGTATTAAATGCTTCAAGCCGATTTTTTTGTTTCATAATTTGCAGTTTTTAAAGTTGAATTTTCGTTATTTTTGTCTTTTTTTTTTTTTTGTGTTCACAAAGTTAAGTTAACAGAGGAAAATAGAAGAGGGAGACGGTAGCGATCCGCAAGGACCTAGCTTGAACTACCAAAACCGTCTCCGATAGATATGAGACTAAAGTAAGGTAAACGACAATTGGCAATCTGCAAAGATTTACTTGAACCAAATGTCGAAACAGAAAGGAAAGTATGTAAATCATGTACAAGTCAGGCATCACGACTAACGATATTGCGGCAAACAATTACGTATGCCTGCAACTAAGACAGCAGCAAATCCTATTAATCAAGGTTTCAGTGTCTTTTGTTCTGCGTCGGTGAGTGAGTGAGTATGTGTGCATGTGACAGTGATTGATGAGTGTCAAATGAAAGTAAGAGTGACCTCCTATAGCAGTAGAGTTGCCAACATGTTGAATAAAGTTCATTTTAACAATAATGCGACTAATTATTTATAGACATAATTCAAATTATTTTTAGTACCACATTGAATTTAACATTTAATGATATGCGATAAAATGACGCATTAATGAATGGTGACGTAAAAATTATTCGCAAACCTTTTCGCAAGCAAATCTTCTCGGGAATTTTCCCGAGGAAGCAGGTGTCTTTACCGACCATGCAGACTTCACTTGACGGGGGGAGCTGTCCCCAAAAATTCCATATTTTATGAAGCTTAAACAAGCTGGGAAAATCAATAAATTACCCACTCTATCTGCGGATCTATGATAGGCGCTCATGAAATGTCCTGCGGGGATTTATCATGAATCACGAACCGATGGGATTTTACCCAACATGACGGCGACATGTAAAGTGTGAGCGGGTTGTGATTAATTAAGTGGATCCTAAATCAGACTTAAATCCTAGTCCTAAATTAATGGATGTAATTGTGGTCACCCTGGCTCAAAGTTTGCCGAACGTATGATTTACTTCAGTTACTTTAACTTACTATCATCTGCCGGAACTATCATCATCTAATGGAGACGCTGAGTACATTACGCATAAAAATGCAACCTCATGTATTCAGACATTCTGACACTATGTATGAGGATATCTTTTGGCGTTATATTCAATTATACGTGTCATGTTACAAGTTCCGTTCTAGCGCTAATAGAATTTGTCACCATGAACATGTAACGGTTGCTATGCATTAACCTTTTATTGTGACAACTAGTTCATACAATTAAAAGGGAATTGCAAGCTGTTTTCTCAGCCATATCACTGTGACAATCACTCAAGGTCAAGTCAGATCAGAGCTGCCAGCTGTCTAGGCAGGCTGACTTAATGACTTTCACGTGAGGTCAGGTCAAAACTGGAAATGAAGAGACAATTTAATGAGTGAATATTCGTGAAAGAATAAATTCACGAACGTGCTAAATTCAATACAGTTGAAACAATATAATTTAATCACGAAAAAAAATAAATAGACACTTAATAAATGAACGATTTCATAATGTTTAACTCCATACTGCGATTGACAGTAATGAGAAGTGAGGTCAGAGAATGAGAAATGAGAGTATGCCATTGCTATACTTAGCACTCTAACCCAACAAAAAACTAGCAAATGTGAGCTGGCTGTACACGGCCTACACATTTAGGAAAAAATAGAAAAGAAATGAAAAGAGAAAGGGGCCCATAAATGTGTACTCACGGTTTGAAGATGCCATCTTGCGTTTGCTTGAAGCCGAGCGGTTTTCTTCGGAGACTGATTGGGTTGCGCGCCGAAAGGGCGCATCAGCCACCACCTGCCACCAGAATGTAAGACGGTGGAGAGTTGTCCGGCAGCGCGCAACAACCACCGCTGTCACCAGTGTGTAAAGGTTATATAAGGACCTCTAAACATTGGTGACAGGGAGTAGTCAAAGCTTTGTGGCTTAAATCTCTTTTATTGATAAGAGTTCAGCACACAGTGAATAAGCACAAGGATGACACTAGGGTTTCGTGCGGTCGGCTGGAGGGTCGCCTGGGGTCACTGGTGGCCCAGCCCAGGTCAGACATGACCTCGACCGCGCCAGGGCACACTCTAGCCTGGCAGGGTCATCCTTGGAGAATGAATAGCGGCGACCACCGGAAGCAGGGGCGGAGCCACAGAGGCGTGGCTAAAGAAACTGCCAGTGTCCGACCTTCACGTGGGCATGGCTACCTGCAGCGGGCCCCCAAGGCCTGGGGACACTAGTCATTTTCCCTTTGCCTTGCCCAGGGCATGGCCGCCTGCAGCGGGCCTCCAGGGCCTGGGGCTGACCTCTCTCTGCAGCTGAGGGTCAGGTCAGCGGCAGATGTTCCTATGAATATTACAGAGCATGTATGTGAGTGCGAGTGTGTGAGTGCGTGCGTGCGTGTGTGTGTGTGTGTGTGTGTGTGTGTGTGTGTGTGTGTGTGTGTGTGTGTGTAAAAGACTCATGGAGGCTAGCAAGCCAGTAATAGTTGTTTAAAATGGACATACTCTTTATTTATGAAGAGTACGACACAGTGATGAGAACACACGAGACAAGTCTTAGGGGGTAAGCACTGAGTGCGGGGGTCGCTGGTCCACAGACCAGCCCTGTGGGGGGCGG